TATATATATAATAAAATCTAAAATTAATTACAATATCTATAATTAGTTTTTTAATTAATTATTATTATTTCAGTTTAGTCTAAAGGGAAATCTTTTAAATACATATAATCTTTCTTATTTAACGCTTAAATTTTATTTTTGTATTTTTAAATTTGAAATATAATTTGTTAATAATTTTTATCTTTATTTCCTTAAACATTAATTAAGATTCTTCTTTTAGTTTTGCGCAGGATTTTTCATTGCTTATAAAATAAATTAATTAAACTTTCAAAATAATAAAGTGTAATTTGAATAGAAGAAAATACTAAAGGTGCCCAAAATACAACTTTTGTCATTTATTAATAAAAAAAAAGAATAATAAAGTTGAAAAGAGTACCGCGTGGCGATTTCTGGTTATGGTGTCGGAAAAATTAATGTTACGGGACGTGTTGACTTCAACAGGAGTAGTGCATGCACACATTAAGCTACCATGCGGAGCGGTGCAGGGAATTGGAGAGAGGGTACACGTGTTGGTTTTGTGAGGTGGCAAATAGAAAAGGTTGAAGAAGCATTATGGGATGATTCTACGGTAGCCAAATGTAACGTGGGCTCAACATTTTACATCCTATGGACACGTGTTTCGTTTTGAGTGGTTGCTGAGGATTTCTTCTGCGAGGATATGGATGGAATTGCGTTGGTCGTACATACATGTGGGCCTATAACGTGACCCATCATAGCCCAATGTCGGCAACGAAATATGAAACAATTTCAAAATGCTCCTTAAACCAAGACTAAATTATTTGCTTTGTTAGTATGTATTAGGTTTGTTTTAAAAGGTTTTTAATTCAAACTTAAAATTGTAAACAAAATTTGCCTAGATAAAATGATGTGAAAATGGTTTTTAAATAAATTTCAGAATCATTTTTATGTAAATTTTAGAGACAAAACAATATATACATATATATTCTTAAATTTTTAGAAATTGTATTCTTCTTTTCAATAATTTTCTCTACTATTCTATGCATCTTATTAGGTATTTTATTATTGGTAACAAAATTTGATGTGGCAAATATGTCAATATTGTCCAAAAACAAAGGTAGGACATATAATTTAAAATTATAGACATATATTATATTTGAATATTTTTAGACCGATTTGATCCTACCCTAATTTTTTTTTTAGATCAAAAAAATTTGTACAAACTAAATTTTTATTGAGTTCAAACCTTATTCTAGAAGTTCAAATTAAATATAATTTTTGTTTTGTCCAGCCTATTATAACTTATAACTTACATTAAGTTCATGACCAATCCAACTCAATCCCACTCATGAAATAAAGGATTTAGACTTTAAATTGTGAAAAATATTTTAATTTAGGTCTTTTTATCCTAATTTATTGTGTGCCAATTTATTTTTAACATGCAAAAAGTGCATACAAATTGGATTTGAAGAAGCCGAAATAAATTTGTTTAACCAACTCATTATAGCAATTATTGACCTAACCTAAACTTGCTTGTGAAATATTAACTTGAATTTTAAAATTTGAACATGAAAAAATTCGAGATCTTTTTAACCTTATTAGTGTTTACCCATCCATACAAACTAGACTTTCATATGATTTAGGCCTTATTTTAGAAGTCCAGAGTTTTTGCTCGACATAATTTTTGCCTATCCTACAAAAGGCTGCACAATTTAAGTTTGGATCTCATTTTAGAAGTCCAAAATGAACCGAGTTTTTTGTTCAACTCACTATCACCCATTACCTATGTCAAGCCCACAACCAACTTGACTTAAACTCACATGTAAATTGAGTTTTATATTTCAAGCATAAATTAAACTAGTCTTTTTTAGCCTAATTCAATTGTGATTTGATCTAGGCTTGACCAAAGATATATACATTTATTATTTTCTATTTTGTTAAACCCACCCTTCATGTTCTCTCTTCACAACTTTGTGAAAATCTTACATCTTGTAAGTGGTTTTTTTAAAGAAAAATATAAAATGAAGTTTTTAAAATTAGAAACCAGAAAAGATAAATCGAGAAACTAAAACTAGTTTCTATTTAAAAAAAATTGAAAATCTTAAAAACAAAATCTAATCCGTAAGGAGCCTTAAGATCATCTACATCCCAACACCCCATTTTTTTTTTTTGAATTCCTAAATGGATCTCATGGTTACACTTCACTCACTCATATTTACTTTTTATAATTTTAACAACTCACATCTCTAATTGAGGAACTGCAATAGTTTCACTAAATAGATCTCACAAATAACTTCACATCCTTACGTTGTATTTTTTTTCTCTCGTTATAAATGTATATAGCCCCACAATTTTTAAGAACTTACTTTTTTGAAAGGAGCTTTTACAAGTACATGTTGATGCTCCATTATTTAAGTATTGAACAACTGTGCTTAAAAAAGGTAAAATAAAGACCTCGCCCTGATAGTAGATATAAGAATCGAGTCAGAAAATTTGGGTATGGGAAGGAGGTAACCATCAATTGCATTTTCCAGAAAAATAAGGGGAAAATGGAGATATACGGGCATTAGTGATGGCATAATAACATTCATATAGAAGCATGGCTTAAAAAAAATTAAGAAACAATAATTTAATTTTATTACAATTACCTTGAGTTGTTAGAAAATATAATTACTATCCTAAAATAAGTTACACTGTTCAAAAAACAAGATTATCTAAGATCTATCCAACAGTATATTTAAATAACTTAAAAAAGAATACGTGTCCAACTATTTACAGCTTCAATAACTCCAAGCTAGCGGGGCCGAACAAAAGGCATGCATGAATCATTAGAATCTCAATTTCCTGAGATGGTTGTACAAAAATAAATCAAGATCCAAGAATCAACTATATTACTAGTTATGATTGTAAATGATTAATGTTTAAATTCAAAATATAAAGTAAAGTGCTACAAACTATAACCAAATGAAAGAAAATTTGGGCAGAAAGCCGAGAAATCACTTTTCATTCACTATTCACTAATGAAACCTCACTTGAAAGAGCTACAAAATCTTGGAAATTATAGCTATAATTACCACCAAAATCAAATACATTTTGTCTACACCAGCTAACATACTTTATGGAGTGAGCAGTAAAATCCAATAAAATTGCAGAATCGACAATGTACACTTTCCTAAGTATAACTCTTCGCTTTTCAAGATTTTCGCCATGTCACTTTGCTTGGTCATCTTCAAAGAAGGGGTAGAAATCAAAAGGGAAAAAGAAACAATTGGCAAGACTAATTTTCTTTCTTGCATTAGATCTTTTCGGCTTCAGCCATCTTTTTCATGGAAGTGAATCCCAGTGTAGGGATATTTTTCATATCCGTCACAAGACAGCAAAAAGGGATCCGCAAGATCTTATTCCCATGGATGGAAGAAAAAAATTCCACAGAATGTACAATAGCTGAAGCTGTATAAATGCAGAGTGAAAGCCGGTCGCCAACACTCTTGTAATCAGCCACTCTAATCCCACCAAGCTGGCTGGCTACTTTATACCTCCTGAAGAAAAGCCTTGTCGTGGAGGAAACCCACCAGGTTGTGTCCTATAAGGTTTCTCACTAGCAAAGCGTTTGTCCGATGGTCCAGCACCTAGGATCCCGAGTGAGTTAGGATCAGTAATCCGGATTCCATTGCTCATGCT